CCCGCGGGCCCCGAGGCTCCGCCGCAGCCGCAGCCGTCTCCGGCCAGTGGTGAGGAAGACTGGGGTCCCCCCGGGGCTCTCACCTGGACGCCTCGCCCCTCTCGGGACGCTTTCCGGGTGGGGCTGTCCCCACCTCCCCTCCCCCCGTCCTCTCTCTTCGGGTTTCCTCTTCTTCATTCCTGGGTCCTCTTCTCACACCTCTCGGGCAGATTTTTCTCCACTCACACCATTTGATACTTCTCCGGCCAATTCTCTGCCCATCACCCCCCCCCCCCGCTTTTGTTTACTGTACCTGAATTCCTAGACTATAAATTGTACTCTTAGTCCGTAGTATTGTGTGGTTCCGACAGTGTTTTTTTAGACATGTGACTTGATTCCCCCTTCTCTCCCCCTTCCCCTCCCATTCCCTGTCCCCGTCCTCTTTTCCCCCTCCCTTCCCTTCTCTTCTCCTGCCCCAGTACTGGGGCCTGACAAGGCCAACCTGATCACTGTCCCTTAGCTTTTTTTTTTCCACTCAAGGCTGGGGCTCTACTCCTTGACCCACATCTCCATCTGTGGCTTTTTGGCGGTTTTCTCAGCCTCCTGAATAGCTGGGATTACAGGAGTGAAGCCATCAGTGCTTGTTTTAAAATACCTCAAAAATCTGCTAAACAACTTTTCTTTTTCCTTTTAAGTTAAAAAAAAAAAGGTTCACGTGACCTTAACGTCTAAGTGTATGGAAATAGTTGCAAGGTAGAAATCCATTAGATTGGGCATGACTCTCCATTTACCACATTGTCTCTTACTTATGCGACCGGTTGTCAATCAATTGGCCATGTTTACCAGAAGATTGTCTTTTATTGATTTTATTTGCTTATATCCTGTAAGCACTTTGACTGGTGGTGCTTTCCTGGACTATGATGCCTGTTCGCAAATTTCATGTCCTTTCATGAATTTGTACCCTTCCTTGGAGTTGTCGGTACCCTTCATCAAACTAAGGTCATGTTTTAGTGGAGCCTGAGAAGCGCTAAAGTGCTGAGCTGAGTTTTCTTCTTAGGTTTAGGTGTACCTGTTAAGTTTATCATGGTGATGGTGGTATGGAGATGCAATATGGAGACATGTGAACATTTTGGTACCTTTCCTTGGTCTTTGTGGCTAGAAGGAAAGGAAGCATTGTCTAACCAGGTAGTTAATATTTGACTGTAAGACATCTGTGGAAAGTGGCCTGTTTGTAAGTTTAAGATACTAGCTAAATACATTTATCAAACTTACATCTGTCCAAATTAGTCTCTTTTCTAATATCTTGAAGTACTAATTCCCCATAGAATAATGACACTTATCATTTTATTACATATCTTATAGCTAGGTTTTTTTTTTGTTTTTTTTGGGTCCGGTCGTGGGGCCTGAACTCTGGGTCTGGGCGCTGTCCCTCAGCTCTCAAGGCTAGCACTCTACCACTTGAGCCACAGCGCCACTTGCGGCTTTTTTCTTTTTGCTCATGTGGTGCTGAGGAATCCAACCCAGGGCCTCAGGCATGCAAGGCAAGCGCTCTACCACTGAGCCATCTTCCCAGCCCCTAGCTAGTTTTTTTTTTAAACCTTGATATTCAAAAGATTTCCTAGGTAAGCACATTGTATACATTTTCTTCTAGTTTTACTTGTGAAGGTTTTGGCTGATAATCACTAACCAAACTGGCTGCAGTAAGACAAAGAGAACATTTTACAAGTGAAATAAAAGATACAATATGATTAAGTACAAATACACCACTTAAAAATAAGTGTGCTTATCTTGGTGTAGTAACTCTCAGTTCCAAGTATAAAGCAAGTTTTATATTAGTTATTTAAATTTGTAAATCCAAACTTCTCAATAAGTGCATTAGTCCATATTAGTTCAGCAGATTTGTGGTTCTTTTCTTAAAACATGGCTGCTGTTCTTAGATCTTATTAACATTCAATGCATGAAGAGAACTCCCAGGATTCTTGCTCTCAGGCAGTTTGAAATCTCTTGAGTATATATCCTATGAAGTATTATTTAATTAACAAAATGAGAAACACAGACATTGCTAAAGAGAATAGTAAAAGAACTAATGCAAAGTACTTTGACATCTTTTTTGGAAAGTAGTGGAAGAATGTAATCAAAACTCTGCTTTTAGCATTCTGTTTTGGAAAACAGTTGTAAGAAGCACATTGCCATGTTAACATTTTGTGTGGATGAACATTAACTGTATTTCTGTTTTGTAACCAATAATGTCAAGTCCCTATTGAAGGCCAAGAGTTCTTGAGCATTCTAAAATGAGAAGTATACAGTGAATACTGCCTGCACAAGCTCTTTGGTGTGTTTGGCTGGGTTATTGCTCAAAAAGAAATGGTGGGAAGTATACCCACCTTCCCTGATTCTGATGTGCCCCCACTCAGCATGTTCCTCTACATCTTAAACAAACAAAAAAAATCACAGTGTATTATATATTTTAAAGCATTTCATTTTCATTTTTTGCTAATGTTTTTATTTTGAGATTATTCATGTTTTTGATACTTGTATTATAACTTTGTAATTTTCCCTTAATTTGAGTTACTGTCTGTAGCAGTTTACAGCTTTTAGTAGGATATTTACAGAAGTGAGAGTTTTTTGTTGTACTTTCTTTGTGTTGTTAAGAAATTTGGAAAAGACAATGCTCTTAAGGACTTTGAAACATGTTTAAAATGATGTAGAAAAAAGAGATACTAGTATGTTATCATGCCTTGCTTTTTGAGGAGAGTAATTTATAGACATGAAACCATTTCTTTTCTTTCAAACAGAATTAATGTCTCAGAGGAAATTTGAGGAAATCAAAAAGGCTAATGAAGCTGCAGCCAAAAAATTTGTTGAAGAACACTTTAGCTCTTCATCTGAAGAAGAAGGAGATGAAGATTTTGAAGGGAAACGGGGAAAAATAGTTGCTAATACATTTATAACGTACACTACTCAGACAGGTACTGATCTTTTAAATTTTAACTTTTTGACATCAGTGAAAGTATATTCTTTCTTGGGTATCATTTTACACTATATAAAATAGTTTTGTATCTTGAGAATGCGCATCATGTTGTAAAGTTGGATTTTGCTATTTGAGTTTCACGTTGTTACAATATCTCAACAAAAGACATAGTTTGGTTATAGAAATACTGAGGATGCGTCTAGTGCTGCTGGTGTTATCAAAGCTCTCTGAAAGATAAATAGGGCAAGTTGGCCTTGGTTGTGATTTCATTAGACCGGAGGACTTGAGATACTCTTCTCAGTCTATTGTTCAGTTTCTTCTTCCTCCCCTCGCCTCCCTTCTCCTTTTTCATGCAGGGCCTAGGGCTTGAACTCAAAGCTTGCGTGCTATCCCTGAGTTTCTTTGCTCACTAGCACTCTACCACTTGAGATATACCTCCACTTCCAGGTTTTTGGGTAGATGAATTGAGATGAGTCTCATGGATTTTCCTGCTCTGTCTTTGAACCACAGTCCTCAGATCTCAACCTCCTGAGTATCTTGGATTCCAGGTGTGAGCTACTATTTTACTAAATCTTCTAAATTCTGCCGTCACTGGCCTTACTTCCACATTGCAAGAAAGCAGATAATATACAGATATGAAAATATCATAATGAAACCACTAAAAACTATTAAAAGGAGGCAGGGCAGGAGGATTAAGAAAGTAATAGAGTAAATTTGATCAAAGTACGTTGCATAAATATGTCTGAAAATATTACAATAAACCCTTTGAACAATTAACACTACTAAAAAAAGAAGCACAAGATAATAATTCAGAAAAACATCAGTAGGAAGTAGAGAGTCACTGTTATCTCATGATATATCGTTAAGAGTAACCTACATATACACAAAATAAATACACATATCAGATTTCTTAATATGACAATCAAGGGTGAAGATATAAAATGAAAGTAATAAAGAAATGAAATGGGCCCCAAAACATTGTGTGTGTGTGCGCGCGCCAGTGCCAGTCCTGGGACTTTGTGCCTGAGAACTGAATCTGCAAAGTAGTTGTCTAAAGAGCTCAAGAATGTGAGTTAGTCAAATCTTAGGGCAGAATGATCATGTGGTTCATTGTAACAGTGAGAAACACAACAGAGTCTGCACACTAGTTGTATAAAGTTAGTTCAAGAATGTGAGTTAGTCAAATCTTGGAGCAGAATGATCTATGTAGTTCATTCCTTTCTCTTACTCCTCTATGATTTAGTAGTTGCCTCTATGCACTGGTGTCATAAAGATAGGTATTATATTGTCAAATTAGTTACTACAGAATTTGCTATATCTCAGAAGTAAATCTAAGTAAAGGTAAATCTAAAAAGTAAACAGTATTGTCACCAAAGCCTTGTAGATTTGTTTTCTTTTTTTTTTTTTTTGAACAGGCTAGTCTTGGACAGGCTAGATTACCTTTGAGACAGGTAGTCTGGAACTGGAACTTACTTTTTTTAGCCCAGGCTGCCCTTATTAGTCCTTTTTAACCTCCCTAATGCATATATTTCTTTTTGTTTCCCTGTATACTATCTTTGCCTAAATCAAGCCTTTGTTCAGTAACTGAGGTAGTTGGTATTACTGTTTCATAGATGAGAAAACTGAGGCATATCAGGTAACTTGCTTAAGGTCATTTTTTGCTTCACCTGCTCTAACTGCTTTTAATTGGTACTTCTTGTTCCTTCTAGTCTTGGCTGCCTCATGTATTTTTTTTTTCAGTTGTTGATAGTGATCTTTTTGAAATGTGTACCTACAAATGTCATACCGTCCATTGTGATGTTCTGGCAGTACAATTTCTTGCTGCAGTAAAATTTTAATACAAACTTCAAAGAAACCTTTAATTTTATAATGATAAAGTTAGACTTTATTTTGTCAAAGCTCATTCCATGTCATTAAATTTTGAATTAGATTTTAAATAGATGAAACTTGAGATGTTATATAGCTGTGTTAAAAATAAAATTGAATAGTAGATATAATTACTAATTCTTTTAAAAGATATTTTTAAAACAAAGTGTTAGTTTATGATAAGGTATTCATCTTTAATAACTTAAACACAGTTGAGGGAATGCTTTTATATGTACATATTTGAATTACATTTATTGTAAGGAAAGTTTTTATAAATCTATGTTCACTTAAATGGTAGGAAGTAAATAATGAACCAATATTTTATTTAATTTTTCTTTTTTTGGCAGTTTAAATTTTAATTTCAATTTGGTTATTGCTGCATAAATTTTGTATTTAAGTTTCTTCCTATTGGAGATTTAGTCAGATTTTCTTGGAGATTTGGTTAGTCTGTATTGTACAATTTTTATGTACTAAAGACATCTCTTTTCTTGAATTAATTGTCTTTTACTGTCATTGTACTTGTTTTATTATTTTGCTATTGCCTATTCTTTGTGTAGCTTTCTGCTATAAGTTGTCATTGTAGCATAGACGAGGGTTAAGAGGACTTACCTTGTAATTAATTGTCTCAAATTTTTCTTCTGTAACATTAAGAAAATTTAATGTTATGGAAATTCTAATAGTATAATGTCTAGCAAATAAATGCTTAGTACCTGCTTAAAAAATATTTTTCCTAAAAAAGATTCCCTACTTTTAAAAGCAGAAATTGTGAACATAATTTAATGAAACAGTGCTATTGTACTGTGATGACTATAATTTTTTTTCAACAAGCTTTTATTAAGAATATGCTATGTTGAGAGGGCGATACTATGAAGGAAGATATTTATAATGGTTCAAGGTACCATGTTAGGAGTTTCTGAAGACTAGTAATTGAATACCAAGTAAGAAAGAGAAAAGTCCACATATATTATACATTTTTATTCTGTTCTTTTAAATGGTATTTCAGCATATCTCAAAAATTGATCAAACTTTAGGGAAGTTGAAATAAAATTTACTTACTTATTTTAAACTATAATATTACAAATATACTTATTAATTCCTAAAAAAATACTATGTGCTAAACATACACCCCATGGTTGTATTTTCACAAACTAGTCCTACTTAGTTTTTACTTTTTTTTTCTTTCATATTTTCTTAATTCTTTCTGTTATTACTGTATGTTTTGGTGCTCTTACCTGTAATTCTGCCCTCAACAGATTTGTTAAGAAAAGTGAGTATGTATTGAGAACACAGAGGTACTGCTTTCCAATTAAATATCTAAGATTTAATTCATAGTGGAGTGCCAGTTGCTCACATGTATAGTCCTAGCTACTCAGGAGGCTAAGATCTGAAGATCACTGTTTGAAGCCAGCCAGGGTAGGAAAGTCCATGAGACTCTTATCTTCAGTTAATCTCAGAAAAAGCTGGAAGTGGTGGTGTGGCTCATGTGGTAGAGTGCTAACCTTTAGCAAAAAGGGGCTCAGGGGCAGTGCCCAAGTGAAGAGTTGGAGCTCCAGGACTCGCAAAAAAAAAAAAAAAAGATTTAATTCATAGACTTGTAACCTCTTAACAGTTTATTGGGTGCTTTTTTTTCTTTGTTAGAATTGTCATTTTATAGTTATGTTTTGAGCAATTAATATTTCTTAGCTTTTGTTATATGTTTTCTTATAGTTAGATATTGCTTACAATGAAACTTTTCAATTTTAAGATGGAGATTTACGTGAATTAGAGCGAACGAAGCAGTATGTAAATGAAGCTTTTCAAGCAGGGGCTATGACATGCTTAATTTGCATTGCTTCAGTGAAGAGAAACCAAGCAGTAAGTATTTCTCCTTATTGATATTAATACTTTTCCCCTAAATATCTTACTTTGCATTTATTATGTTTACCCACTTATTTTCCTTTTATTTATGTTTGTTTAAAAATGCTCCATTTTATAACTTCACATGCAATTCTTCATTTTATAAATCTGAAATTTAAAAAAGCTAGCCCTGAGCTTTCAGTGTTTTATCACTATTCATATCTGAAGCAAGTACTGTTAATTTTAAATGCACATATTGATTTGGCAAAGCATTTTTAACATCTGTAATTTAGAGGTTTCCACAAATATGAAATGTTAAATGTACAATATTACATAGCTTTCAGTGTTACTTTTTTTTGGGGGGGGGTTCCAGTCGGGCCGAACTCTGGGCCTGGGCGCTGTCCCTCAGTTCTTCAGCTCAAGGCTAGCTGCTCTACAACTTTGAGCCACAGCACCACTTCCAGCTTTTTTCTTTTTGCTTATGTGGTGCTGAGAAATCGAACCCAGGGCCTCATGCGTGCAAGGCAAGCACTCTACCACTGAGCCACCTTCCTGGCGCCACAGTGTTACTTTTTTAAATTTATTTTTTATGTTTTGGGAAGCTAGAGATTGTAAGGGCCTGATAGGGATGTACTCTACCACTAAGCTGTGTCCCCCAGCCCCTTTCATTGGATTTGAAAGAAAGACATATTTCTTGTCTTCAAAGACCTAGAATTTTCATGGACACTTAAGTTTATTAGTTAGCGTCTCCTGATTATGTTGAAGGCATTCTGGGAAGTGGCAAGGAGAGATATAGTTATTTTTCATGTCCTTGGAGGAGCTATGACCTAATAAAGAGGCTGCCTGTATGGAAATTAAAGGGACAGTAATGAAGTGATGAAAGAGAAATGACTGAATATAATAGACTGAGCTAAACCTCAGATTAATCCACTACTATCATAGCAGTGTTCCCTAGAGAAACTTGGGCTGGATTAAATGGGCTGGTTATATACAGTGCATCAGAAATTTAACGTGCCCAGGTTGCACATGCAGGTATCTGAGGTGCTTGGAGTCAGTTTTAAGTCTAGTTGTGACTCACTGTGATTTCAGTTGCAGTGAATTAATAGACTGGTATGTGTGTGTTTGTGTGTGTGTGTATGTGTTCACCTTGAAAACCAATTCGGCCAGTATACAGATGCAATGCAACCTTGGAGAGTCGATGTCCTTTTTTTTTTTTTTTTTGTCGGTCGTGGGACTTGAACTCTGGGCCTGGGCGCTGTCCCTCAGCTCTTCAGCTCAAGGCG